AGTTGATGAAAGTTTGGATGTTTCCACTACAAAGTCTATTGAATCTCATTTTGATGAGATTCCTTCAAAAATTGCTTTCGCAAAACAACAGCTAGCAGATCAAGTCCATTCCTATGAGGCTCGAATAGCATCAATGCAGATTGAGAATGACAGATTTATTTCTTTGGAGCGACTTCTGCTGTCTTGCAACGAGAGGTGTTCAGTGTTAGAGAGTTATCTTCGCAATCATTTAGAAATGCGCTCTTTAGGAATACAAACCACTGATGTGAACTCTATTGTTTCAACAACAGATTTTTCATCAGCTGGTTACATTCGAATAGATGTTTCCACTATTAAGTCTCTTGAAAGCCGTCTCGGAGAAATGTCTTCCGAGCTTTCTTCTGCACGACGCCAGCTTACAGATTATGCCTCATTTTATGATGATCGAATTATATCAATTCAAAACGAAACTCTTAAATTTCTTGAGTTACAACCAATTTTACAGTCCTGCATCGATATTTGCTTAAGCTTGCAAAGTGATATTCGAAATCCTCATCAGATTTTGTCTATTGGAAGTGAAACATATACTGTGGATACTACTCTTGCAACAATGGATTACTTCTCGTCTCCAAACGAGCGTTTGGATGTCTCTTTTATCAAGTCTCTTGCAAGTCGTTTAGAAGAGATATCTTCTGTACTTGTTTCTGCTCTACAAAATTTTTCACTTCAATCATCTCTTTATTCTGATAGATTGGCATCAATGCAATTTGAGATCCTGAGATTCGATAACTTCGAACGCACTTTACATTCATGCACCGAGACATGTTTTAGCTTGGAAGGTGCTCTCCATAATCGTCCTGAGTTCGGAACCATTGGTGTCCAAACAAATTTTGATGATATTGTTATTAGCCCTATTTATTCCCAATCCTCAACTAACGTCTCTTCGAAGGTCTCCTCAATTCATTCTCTTGAAAGTCATATAAAAGAGCTCTCTTCTATTCTTTTTAATGCACAAAAACAATTATCTGATCAACCCCTACCTGCATCTTGCAGTTCATTTAGCCTAATCGAACCTATGGCTTCCTTAACTAATCAACAGCCACTTATTTGCCCTTATCTCTCTGAATCATCTCCCTCCTCACTTCCAATCATGAATCTCAGCCCCTGCTTTTCCACGCAGAATAGTTTTATGGATTCTTCTTCAGCTCCCAGAATTAAATCGCTTTTAGATTTATCATCCTCCCTTTTTTCTCGACTTAATGACATTTTTTCCGAGATAATTTCTCTTACACAACCTCATGTTCAACATGATATCACCTCTCATCCACATACCTATTTAGCAAATCTACGCTCTCGTTTTATTGATTTGAATTACCTTCTACAACTTTGCATTTATAAGTATTCTGGCTTGGTTTTTGAATTAAATCCTGGCCCTGACGCCCATGCATTTGTTTCACAATTTTTTCCTCCATCTTTCTCTATTAATACTTCTCTTATGCCTCCTTTGGGACTACCTCAACATTTGCCTAATGCTTCTTGCCTATACCAGCAATTTATCAACTTATTCCTACACCTCTTTTCTACTAAGAATATCTTTAATTTGCAAATGTCAGGCTTTGAAAGCTTTTTTTTATTGGTTTTCAAAAAAATATTCCACTCAAATCACGATACATTTGCCTTTCCGCCATGTATTTCACCTTCTTCTTCCGCTCTCTTCTCTCCTGACAACAGTTTTCACGTTATTTCTTCGGATTCTGAAGCAATTTTCTCTTTTAATGATAGTATCACCTTAGTTTCTTCCTTCCCCAGTGACTTTCCTGTCTTTCTAGAAACCTTGCCCAAGTTCCTAAATTTAGAACTTACTAAAATGACCCAATGTTTATCCTGTTTGCAACACTTCCTTGTGAATCTTGAGAATTCCTCGTTGGAAAAACGGTCTAGAACTGAAATTTCTCAGAATTGTCTGCCTATTGCTTCACTTGAAAGTGTTTCTTTATTCCTAGAGTCCAATGATCTTCGATCCCAGTTGACTGATGCCAAAGATCGTATCATCGGTCTTTCTTCTATTATTGACGCTCGTGATAAGTCCATTTGTCAGCTGAATTTTATCATAA